TGACGTACAGTGGCGTATCTAGGGGGGGGGGGGGGAGGGGGTTATAATGAAAAAATGTTTAGTGTATGTATATTGTCTATTGATTATAATAAAAACACACAAAATTCAAAAAAAATTTAATGTTACATTAACCGAAAAAAAATTCTGGATACGCCACTGCTAACGTACATGTCTTCTTTAATGCTAATAGTTTCTTCTATTTTGTTCTCTTCTATTTCTATTTAACTGTTTTTTGTAATATATTTTTACTAAAATATTGTGTTCGCGATTTTATCGTTCTATCACCCTTCTGATAGTTGCATTGGTGATTGTGAAACAAGCAGCAACCACCAAAATAATATTGTTACAGCACAGTCAACATAATCCCATAGTAAACCGCGACAGAAAAGTTTCTTATTTATGTAATAGTTGATTTTACTCTCTGACTACCAGAGCTCCCAGCGAAAACATGGTATAACGACACCAAAATATTATATATATATAATAATGTATTTGATATGTGCATCTAAAATTTCTCCATAAAAAACAAAAATTTCTTGGGATTACGACATTATTTATTTTATTTTGTTTTTGTTTTATACCTTATACCAAGGATTCCCAACCTTTTTTACTTAACGATACACTTGATCATTTTAAAATTTTCCACAGCACACTTAAATAAATAATAATCAATATACATGTCGTTGTAACAATTTGTATTCAAATTATCAGGTTAAACTAAGGCACTATATATATTATAGTGCCTTAGTTAAACCAGGCTGAAACAGGTTTTCAACATTAGGAACTACAACCGATTTGCATCAAGTTGAATACTTACAGCTGCTGGTGTCTAGTAGCTAAAATTGGTAACACTAAATTGGGTGTAACCACTAGACATCGCTTTAATCATATTTATTCAAATTGATAAAACAGGTTTCCAACATTACAAACAACAACTATTAATAGTTTTCTAACGTTGAAAACCTGATTTCGGTGTTACCAATTCAAATATTGATATAAAAGTGTAATCACGTATTTGTATATTCTAAAACAATGGTTTAATAATTTATTAAATTTTTACATATTGATTTTAGTTATTAATGGTTATTTATAACAAGATCATTTAAATTAGTGTTGAAAAAACCAATATAGTTATGAATATTCTCGTTGAACTAAATGAAGAATTTTAATGACTTCATTAATTCTATTGTAGTTTTTCAGGCTTTTTATAAAATCTTAATTGCTAAAAGTTTAGTCTAGTTAATAGTGTACCAGTGGTTTATATACTCTATTCGACTTGAGAGTACATCAATTTGCTCATGCAAGAGTAATTGCTATCCGTTGTCCGATCCCATATTTAATTGATCGGCAATGTTCGTTTTCGGTCGATTCTTATTGCTGTTGTAGATCGATTTTACCACGGTTGAACGTTTGCAGTTTTTCCGAAAATAAAAAATTTCTCGGTCAAGAGAGTGAATATTATTCAACACTCAGTTATCAAAGTATCCTTAACACAAAGGTCTATAAAATAGAATTTGATCACACCAAGTTTGGGGGTTTTGCGTGTAGCCAAAGCTCTTGGTAATCTACATGAAGTTTGATAAAAATATAAAAAATACTGAATTCACTCATTTATAGAGATTGGGAAGTTTTAATTGATCAAGTTAATGATTCTCGATATTTTTTACTAATGTACGGCTGTATTTTGTTACATTTTTAATTTATTATCGTATGCCGATTAACAGTTCTGATGAGTTCAACGCAAAAGTTTCTAATCTAATTTGTAAGCTGCATACACAATTAAACTGATACTAAAAATGCCTAATAAAAAAAATAAATGCCACAATCATATATACTATATAAAACACTATTGACGTATGTAAAACGACAAACATCACCGCTGTATATATTTTTTCGCATTTGAATGTCATTTTCGACACAAGTATTGTTTAGGTAAAAATGAAGAATTGAATATCAATATGTAATTAATTTTATTTATTATTACTCATACATTATTAAAAATGTTTTCTTTATTTAAAAAAAAATCGAACCACCGCGTTTGCACTTATGTCTACGCGGACCCACTGGAAATAATACGTTCTGATAATTCAGCCGGTTCGGCCTGTACACGGTTTACACGTCTCGGTTGAAATTTAGATCGCTGCAGTTTACACGGCTGTAACGCGTACTGTGACCACGAACAGTGCGGTTGTGTTTAAAATAATACAATTATTTTGATTTCACTAAAATCACTCGCGGCTGATCCGTTATGTGCAGCATTACCCTTAAATTTACTATCGATACATTTTTAATATTGAAATGATGTATACGACAATTGTACTGTATCATTATATTACTCAAGTTCGACTGATAATAAATGTACAAATAAACAATATGTAATAATTACCGGAGGTAAATCGATATTACCACAACTATATAATATCATAATCGTTTATTTGTAGCTAATTATTTCTATTCCGGAATCTGAAAACTATTGTACTACAATTAATGTTGACGAACCGAAAAGATTTTTTTATTATACTCGTATCTCTATATCCAATTCATGAAAATAATTTCCGTTTATGAATTAACCCAATTACACTTTCATCACTGTTCAGCAGTTCATTCATGAGATAATCAATTTCATAATTATTGTAATTACTGAACATTTATGCGTATCAGATTATTGCCTTGTTTTTTATTTTTTCTTTCTTATACATATATCAAATAGCATTATACTTAGTTTTTTGATTTTGTATGATACTACAGGTATATTATGTGCACTAATCGTTTTATTTATGTTTTATTATTTTTATTATTTAAACCCATTTAAGTGGCTTAAACTATAAAATAAGTAATCACAATGAAAAACAATTGATAAGCTTCTGCGCAAATATTTTTCAACGGTCCATTTAAAAATTACCGACTGTAATGCGCAGAGGGGAAAAAACGATTGTCATTGAACAGTCGTTCCGGACGGCACACGTTGTTCCCTTCATCGATTCATGTCTACTATACATCGTATTATTATAATACAAATCTTTCGATCTTTTTTTTCCCCATTATCCATAGACCACCGTCTGGGGGGGCCGTTCATAATTTGTATAATAACTTCTTTATTCTTGTTCGTGGACAAGCACAACTCCCAAATTAGACCGTGTCGATGATACGCTCCCCGCTGTGCATTATTTCTTTCATCCCCGACTATATTATTTATACCTACAAGACAGGTGGGCCTATTACGTTTTAAATAGTGTGGTTGGTAATATTTGCGGTGAAGCATAACCGAGCAAAACGGATCACACAATGTATAATAGGTTGGTTAATAAGTATAATACTATTATTATTTAATATAGATTATTTGAATTATTATATCATATTTACAAATGTTAAAAATTAATAACTATGATATATTAATTCAATTATTTTTGTTTAAATTATAAATCATTAGGAATACCTATATTTAGAGATAAAAAATATAATTAACAATGAGAATTACTCAATAACAAGCTTAAAGTACCTATTAGTGTACCATATATATTCTAATAACATAGATAAAAAATATATTTAATTTTGTGTCATAAATTTGATAAAAAAATTAATAAATTTTTAACATAAAATAAAATTAATACTATAGAGTTTAAATAATAAATAAATAGTTTAAACTTATATAGTCAACTAAACGATATGTATGCGTGGATACGTTATAAATTAGGCTGTATGACATAAGGGCCGAAGGTACAAGAATGATATATTATTTGCGTCTAAATTAATATTTTATATATTTTATATAAGTATTTAAAATTGTCAATAATTAATAAAATATAACATACATAAAAATAAATATAATTTTAATAAACCTTTTGATTTTTTAAATCAACTTTTTTACATATTCTTAATGACTTATTTCACCATAAATCTTATAAGTATACTAAATTATATAATTGAATCATAAGCTTTGAATAAAAAATAAATAATACATCAACAAAATTGTTTTGGTTTGATGACATGTCTAGTTGAATAAATATCGAAAATATTTTATTAAAAATTAGGAGATAATATAGCCATACGATAAAAAAATAAATAAAAGGGGATACTATAATTTATTTAAAAAATACATAAAAAAATGTATTTTTTACTCTACAAGGATTAAAATCTTCAAGATTTGAGATAAAATTATTATTGATTATTTAAATTATTTATTCTGTAAGTATTAAAGCTTGAAAAATATAAAAAAAATCAGATATAATTAATATAGATATAGTTAATAATAATTATAATCATTATTAATTATAATTGATAAGATAATATGTCTTATATTATGTAGAACGGTATTATAATCTATCCATTTATACACATGTAGTTATTAATAGATATGTGTTATTAAATATTTATAATATACCTACATAATACGTATTGTATAGCTTGATTAATCACTAACATATATTAAAAGTATTGAAATAAATTTTTTGAAATTATTATAAATTAGAATTATATTAAAAATCAAATCTAAAAACATTTTGATAATAAAATAAGATAAACAAATGTTATGTTATTTTTGTAAAGTTTTACGATATGGTTGAAATAATATTTTTATTTATTATTTTTTTTTTTTTTTTTTTGATTCCGATATATTGCGGGTCATAATTATATTTATATTAATAGCGACCGTTCCTGATAACGAGAGTAAAAATCTCGTATGGAGAGGGGGTTAAGGGGTTGTGAAAAAACGACATGGGAGGGACCCGACAGCCGCCGGTTTCTAATTCAGTGTTCTTTCGGACGGTAACGCCTCTTCACGGACCATTGTGAATGCTGTACGACAGCGTGGTGAACCTTTTCTGTTAAGTTTTTTCGTTCTTATAGATTTTATTAATAAATAATTTACGTATACGCATATAAATATATATATTTATATTTATATGATATTAATATTTACATAAAAAACACTTTGATTTGTAAAATTAACATATATTTATTATATAAAAATATACACAACCACACATAAATATATATTTTATAAATATTTAAACTATCGGCAGTGTAAAATATTAAAATAGTTTTGTGTTGTTTTTTTTTTTTTTTTTTTTGAAAGGATGAATGAAAAGCTTACCGTGATATTAAGTGATTCAACGTAGTGCGTTAGTGAATATGTACGATTAAAAATAGTAGCCGAGACACGATTCAGGCATGAATATTCATTTTGCAGTGGTCTTTTGCGTCTTACAATTATTTGACGGCGTTACGCGAGCGTATGCCGGACACGCTTCGAGCTTGAAGTCGTAAGTTAATTTACAACATATATTATATTTAAATACATCTTATTTTTAATTTTTGATTAACTTTAGCATCTTATTTAAATATTAAATGTTCCCTAACGGTAATGCGATGTAGCAAAAGTGAAAATAAGAAAAAAATACCACTTAAAAGTCGAAATCTCTATGCGAGAGAAATAGTTTATTTATTTTGATGATTATTTTATAATACATCTTAACGCGGCAGTACGTACTTATAGTATATTTGTATAATAATTAAATGTTATGTTCGACCTAATATAGATTGCGTGGAGTCCGCAAACATTTTTTTTTAAAATAAGTATTAATTTTATTTTTATAAAATAATTCGTATGAAATAAAACGTTAATATAATAATGAACCGTATAATATCGAAATACAGCTGCTAATACCTTTACATGTTCTTATATTTTTCTGCGTTCTTATCATTTATCATTAGGCGATTAGAAACGTGTGTGGGCTATATATAATATTTGCAATGATATTTACAAAATTCAATAACCGTGCAATAGTTTATTACTTAGATATAATATCTTGGTGTTTCTAACCTAGAATTACATTTGTATAAAATATTTATTAATAATTAGTATACAATTTAGATTGAAATATATAGATAAAATTACTATTAAATATATTAACAAAATAGTATATTATATTTAACAAATATGTTTTTACCCTTTATTAAACATATTAAACAATATTATTTAATTTATGTATGCCCGAACGTAATGAATGTAACAATATCAATTGTTGAAATCTATGTAAAATTGTCAACTGTAAAATACTTTTAATTCGTGTACAAATTGCTAAGTACCTACTTACAAAAACCACTTAAATAATATTTTATTTTATTTGAACATTTTTATAAATCATTTTAAACAAGAGTATAAAATAGCTATATGTATTATTCTATTTATTATTATAATATCTATATAGGTTACTATATAATACTATAATACTACCTATATAACTATTCTCAATTTTAAATGAAAACCAAAAATGCTAAAATTGGAGAAAGGCAAAACCAAGATTTTTTGGTTTCATTACGAAAATATAATATAATATTTTAGTATTGCAGTTTTAATTCGAATAGGTTTTAACGCTTTTCATATTTAGGAAGTCATTTAAAAATTCTTTCAAATTCCTGTAATATTTATGTACCATATTCAATAATTATTGTATTGATACTTTCTTACAAATTTTTTGAGTTTTATCTAAACGTTTAAAATGTTTTTATTAATCAAACATCCGAACATACGTTTTAAACAATATATTTCGTTAAAAAATGAATTATTTAAAACTTAGTAGCAGTATATTGAATTACTTAAATTATTTAAATGTCAAATTTTAAGTATTAAATTAAAATTGATTAACATCTAGTATAAAATATTTCAAAATTTAATTTTTTATTTGACCTGTTGAATTTCATATAATTAGAATTAAAATTATATTTATTAAATTTGAAATTACGCCTAATATTACATATTATACAACTTAATACCGTGCTAATATTTGACGATTGGATAACAAAGATTTATATCATACATAGAAGTACTTTGATATTATAAATTTATTTTAAGAAAAAAAGGTTTTAAAATTTTTTTTAATTTTAGTTGATTTTTATTATTATAATTTTTATATTACTTAAACGATTCAAGTAAACATTTTAATACCGTAGTGTTTTTTAAATTGTTTTTTTTAAGTCATATTAACACCTGGAAATTCAATAAGATAAAACCATAAAACGGTTTGATTCTCATTTTTGTTAGGCCGAGAGAACAAGGTCTAATCAAAACATCATCAATCAACCTAATACAGGGAATCCCAAATGGACATTAAATTATTAAATTCACGCGTGTAATTATATGACAGAAGACATGAAATTATAAATCGGAATGAGCGGCGTATACATAAAAAACATAGGGACCGCGGTCTTTTCAAATATCTAGTACAAATGTATTTAGGTATATTATATATGTACATACCTTATTGTAAAAGCAGACTCATAAAAAACCTTTTCTTGTATGTGAAGTAAATTATTATTATTATAAATGTGTTAATTTTTCTTCCGCATTGATCCACAAAAGCGCCATAAACATTTGTCCGTAACATGACTGAAGACTGTATACCTATTACGTGTAATAATTGTCGGCATGCACAATGGGAAAAATAGGGTAGGTACGTGTACATTGTTGTTGTTATACATGTTGTATACCTAAAATATCCACACACACACACGCATATATATTTGTATATTACACGTAGTTTATATATTTTACTATTGTCGTACCGGCTTCCAAAAATAAGGGGACATCGTAAAAAAAAAAAAAATTAAATAATATCTGTCCGGTCGATCTGCATTGTTGAGTTCTTTTATGCACTCCATTCATGGATTTTGGCGCAAACTCTTTTTCCGCAAAGAAGTTATATTATTGAATTACCGTAAACCGATACGTCTAATCCTCTTTCTCGGCTGTATACCTGTACGCCGCGCTCCCACCACCAGTTTCGGAATTTCTGCTTCCTTTTTATTTCTTCTCAGCAATCATTTGAACCGGATTTCTATCGTCGCAAAACGATCATTTAGAAACCCGATCCGTGTATTTTTATTGCGCTTACGGAAAAAAAAAAAATAAATAGCTTTAAGGCCGCAGACATACAATTAACTCCATTCAACTGTCTACGGGAGCTTCTGTGTTTGGCCAAATCGCATCAGCGTAGCTCTACCAAATGGAAGCTTTTAAGTCCGTTGCGTGTGCATGTTTGATTTGCATTCGAAACAATGCAGTGAAATATTCTATAGTGCACTATTTAATTAGTATTTTAATTGCCGGTCAATAATAATACGTATGCGTGTTGATATTGTTGTGTCATAAGGATATTATATATTATAATGTGTATGTGTGTGCAAGTTCCATTAACGAAACATATGCCCCTAAGTCATCTAAAGACCACACATACCGCGTTGCTATTCAAAACATATATATATATATATATATATTTATAATATTGAAATGATATATAAATATACATGTACAAACAATAAACAAAACTATACTACTGTATGACGAAACGTAATGTTAATATTTTTAATTATGTCGCATCCTTACCGGGTGCCTTAAGTTTTGACTTGAGTTTGCAAATAATGAACATTAATAATACACGGTATATAGCTTAACATTTTGAACATATATAATTAAAAATACCGTTCAAGTTTAAATCAAATTTGTAGGGATCGTTTTCTTATCTGCTATAAAGATCCATATTAGTTTTGAAATCAAAAAATTGTATTTTATTCTTCAGTAAATTAAAATTATTTAAATATTTAAAATAAAATAAAACATTTCTCTCCAAGTAGAACATATACGAGTATGTTGATGTTGAAATTAACAAATGTAATGCTAATAATTTATAGTTAAACAACATAAAAAAAATGAAAAACATTTTTATTTAGGGTTTTAGATAACATTTTCTATTCAGTTTTGTAATTTAATTTGGTGACTGGAAAAAATATTTTCTAATAGCGAATGTATATTACATAAGCAATGAATATTTATGATACTCTGATATCCTCTTATTTTCATATATCGAATAACAATTAAATAATTTGGTGCACGTTGTTTTTCTTTTTCGTCAGTTCACATTGATCTACATTATTAAATCGGGTGAAACAATATGAAACATTTTTAATGTATTAACATTGGCAATTTCAAAAATATGTATTTGATTATTAGTTAAATTTTTCAAAGGCATCGTGTTTAGAATGTACATGTATCTGTATACTTGTAAATGTATCTCATCGTATATTTATATGCACTGCTTTCAGTGTATTTTACATATTTATCCTGAGTGAAAAATATTATTTCATAAGTTGAACAAATAAAGGCGTAAATATCATTTCCTATGGCAAGGAAAATAAATAAAAACTAATGAACTCTGAGAAAATATTTACTTATTAATAAAAAACGAATGAGATGAGATAGTATGTATATTATGGAAAATGTTTAGGCATACGCTAAAGGGCAATAAGAAATGAAGACCTATAATAATATTTATGATGGCTAGTAAGTTTCGAAACGAGTTATATATCGAATATTAATATTTTATTTGATAACATTCATTTGAATTCAATAAGTACTGGGTAACGTAACTGCAAAACTGTAAAACTGATAAAAAAAAGATGTTATCTTAGTATTTTTTTTAGTTATGGAAAAAAATATGAAGCATCAGGTTTTTATAGTATATCATAATTTACGGAAATATTCGGTGAATTTAAAAAAGTTAGAGATTTTAAATTGTTGCGAGTATAGTCAGTAATTAATTCCGTTTTTCATTTCCATTTTACTATAATATAACAATTTAAAATACATGAAAAATATTTACCATTAAGTTATAAAAATCAAGTAAATGTGTGAAAATTTACTAACAATATATCAATTACATAAATTAATTGTATAACATATCGTTACGTCCACGTAAACAACACGTATCGTCATTTTAAACATTTTTTCAGGAGAATGAAAAAAACATTTTAATTTTGACTTTACCATTTAAATATTATTGATTTTGGTAGATGAAGTTAATACAATGCCTTTTATGGCTACCCGACAGAAAAAAAAACCGATTTATAAATTACAATTACAAAGAGATTCTAAATATTATGAAATCAAAACATGATTTTTGATAAAATTGGTGATATGTGTTGTTTACGTGGACGTAACGATATAAGGTTGTAGCGAAAATTTCCTTAAATTAAGAATCCATGTATTTCACGTTATCATTACAATGAGTATTATTAGTTTTATTATACTCAGTACTGCAATAATATAGTTTAACAAAAAGTATCAGGAGCCCATTTGAGTATCGGATGATTTTCGTTGGGGTGAGTTTTATAACAATAATAATAAATATCTAATAACTAAACAAAAAAATAGTTAGTACATGTATGCCGTTACAAATGTACATTGCTGCATAAACGCATTATATTT